CCTGAGCCAGCGTGCTCAGCATCCCTGGTTCCAGCTCCAGCTCCTCCTCTGGCAGTGGGAGGGTCATGCTGAGAGCTGAAATTGGGGTGGAAGAGGCAGTGATTCCACTGCTGGTGCCCACTTCTGGACTGAGCGAAGGTGGTGCAGGTGCAGGGACGTCAAGTGCAGACACTGCTCCCACGGGCAGCACTGGTGTCATGGCTGCTCGGGAATAGAATTCATCTGCTGGCTAGCCCCACACTGAAGCTCCCTCATGCCCCAGTCAGGCCCTTTGCAGCACACTGAATTGTGGGGGAGCCCCTTAGAGCCCCCTACCAGTCAGGGCTGCTGTGCCTGGGCTCCCCATGCTGTGCCTGAACAAATTGTGGAGCTTATTGTTCCTGAGTTAATTTCTCCCAGGCGCATTTTCAGATTGCATGCCCAGGAACAGTTACTTCTGAGCAATAAGCACCACAGTTTATTCAGATGCTATAATTGTAATTGTAGACATGCCCTCAGTTTCATATTTCAGTTCTTGTGCCCTTGAGGGCCAAGTTTGAATTAGAAGTATTTAAAGAGGAAAATATCTCATCAATTGAAGTCAGGAGTTGGTAACTTATGGCTTGCAGACCTGATCCAACCTGTAGAGTCAATGGATCCAGCCCACAGAGCTGGGAGGCTTCAGTGGCATTCTAGTGACAGGGGACTTTGTCCATGCCATGCTCTGCTTCATCTGACCAGCAAAGAGCTGTCTGGTGCTGCACACCATCTGGGTGGCAGGGAGAAGTGGTGGCAGCAGTGATACAGGCTGGATCCTAGTGCCAGCCCACCTTAGGCTCCAGCTGAAACATTTCAGCTCACTACAGGAAAACGTTACCAACCACTGTCTAGCACTAGGTTGTTATATGGCTTTCTTCACCATAATATCTTGACAACCCCCAATTCAACAGTGAACAAAACACTTTCATTTTCCACTAGTAGCCTGAATATTTCTCCTTCTCTTCCTGTTACAGTCTATAAAACACTTAAAAGCGAACTTTAAACATGAAAATTTTAAAAAACCCACTTAGACCCACCTCTTGCCAGTATCCCTTTAAGGAAAAAAGTGCCAGGAACTATAACTTCTTGGTATCAGTGTAATCATAGATTCTATGTTACATCTTACCTGCTGAAAGACTCTTGGCTTCTTCTTGATCTTCTCATAAAAAAGCAGCACTTCTGATACATCTACACCTGATATGTTATGGGACGTTCCAAAACGTTTGTCTCTAGTAGAAGGGGAAAAAACAAGGATGTGAGAGGTTTCTTATTACAAGGCTAGCTTTGATGTATCTTAACACTCCCTGAATATGCAAGGAATATACCTTTGAGAAGCATTATTTTAATACCAGTTACTGTAGTTATAGTCTATAACCCATGAAATTGTTACTTCCACACTTGACTGACATCCTATACTTGCTACCCTAAACTCTTGTTCAGTGTGGCATGCATCATTAATTAGTTGTTTCCCATGTTACCTCCCAGAACAATGATGGGTAAAGTAACATTTTGTTGAATGATTTTGGATCCTTTTGGATGTTAAATACTGTGTAAGCTTATTATCAGTGTCAGTATCCAAATTAACCAGTTTATTTTTCTTTTTGGATAAAATGTTTTTCTGATATCTATGGGCATGTTCAGATGAGCATGAACATGCAATTTGCAGCACTGCAGGCCCATTTCCAGTGCCGCAAATCACATGCATCACACATACAGGCATTTGCTGCAGTTCTAATTAGCAGCATGGAGGGTTTTTATGACACAGAGATCACCCCAGCACAAAAAAGTGGAAAGGCACACGTGACAGCAGTGTACGCTTCCTGAAACTAGAGCCTGGCTGGTTGGAGCCACACTCCAGCTGCTGGCAAGGCTACATGTGCCTGGATCACTGCCACTGAAGCCCCAGGAGGCCCCCAAGACACCAGATAAGGCTGCTTGGGCCAGCTGGGGCAACTTGTCCTGTCCCAGAGCATGGATTCATGGGAATTCCCTGGGGATAAGTAGCAGCAGCACAACTACTACCACTGCTATCTGTCCCTGGGGAAATGTGCCTGCACGCTTGTCTGGACATGCCCTACATGGTGAATCTCAGCTCAGATCCTCTGCTCTCTCCATACAGTTAAAACATTGGTTACAACAATGAGAGTTAGATACATGCAAGGAGATCAGAACATTGGAGAAAGAGGAAAATTCTTGAGATCTTAAAGGCAAGATCCTAACTCCCTATGAAATACCGAAGTAAAAGGTTAGATTTTCAGAAGTGCTGAGCACACATGATTTCTACTGATTTCAAGAAAAGCTGGCTTTTCAGCATCTTGAAAAAATCAGGCTGATTATCTAAATACAGGCGTGTTCTGTGGCTGAGGGGTCTAGGTGTTAGGCTGCTCACTGAAACAGTGCCCCTTGCTGGCTTCACATTTGTGGTTTTCATGGGGGACTTCAATCATAGGTGCTGACTTTGGTCTTTGCTGGTGGGTGCTTTAACCCTGCCTCTGACCCTACTCACTTCTACTACCTCACCATGAATCCTGGTGCACTGGTTTAATTTTGCCTTCTTGTGCAGCCATATAATGTGCTTCTGCCATCTACTGGTACCAGCTTGTAAAAGCTTGATTTCAGGGCAAAGTTCTTAGCATAGCAGAGATCTAACATGTATCATATAAAACCAAAATAGCCATGGCTCATGGATGTTAAGCACCTACTATTTTTTTTGGTGGGTGCTTGAGCCCCGGAACACCCATGGAGTCGGTGCCTATGACTTTAATCATCCTCACATCTACTGATAGAGCAATACAGCAGTGCACAGGAAATCCAGGAAACAACTTCCTGGGGCAAGTGTTAGAGAGACCAACTAGAGGCTATGTTCTTCTTGAGCTGCTGCTTACAAACAGGGAAGAATTTGTTGAGGATGTAGAAATGGATAACAACCTAGGCAGCAGTGACCATGAGATTATCGATTTCAGGATCCTGACAAAAAGAAGGAACAAGAGCAGCGGAGTATGCTCCTTGAGAGAGCAGAGTATGGACCCTGAGGGAGACCCTCAGGGAACTGATGGGCAGGATCCCCTGAAAGATCAGTCTGAGGGGGAAAGGAGTCCAGGAGAGCTGGTTGTGTTTTAAAGAAACCATACTGAGTGTGCAGGAACAAACGATTATGATATGCAAGAAGAATAGCAAATATGGCAGGCAACCAACTTGGTTTAGCAGAAGACTCTTCAGTGAGCTTAAACACAAAAAGGAAGCTTACAAGAAGTGGAAGCTTGGACCAATGAATAGGGAAGAGTATAAGATATTGTTCAGGAATGCAGGGACAACATAAGGAAGCCCTGCAATATAGTTAATTTCTGGCCAATTTATACACAGCTGATTTATTATTTTGTCTCCAAATTATTGAACTTTACCTTTTTTCCAAGAAGCTTCCATTGACACAAGCCACAGATGAAAAGATCAATCTAATATTCCTGTTGATTTAAAAAAAAAATCATCATTCCAACAAGAACAGTAGTGACAAGTTTTCAGTTTGACTCCATAAAGAAGATGCATACTAACGTAACTGTTGTAAAGAACGTATAAAGACCACAACAGATCATAATGCTTCTGATGCTACAGATTCCTATTGGAAATCTCTTGGTTTATCTTGTGAATCATGTTTGTACACCTAACAGTGCAGAGCACTCCATGGAACCCTTGAAAGAATCTTAAGGCAACCCAGGGTGGTACCTTGGTTGATTATCACTAGATTAAACCAGTGAGCATCTTGGTTGAACCTTCCTCTGGAATTGCTGTCTTAACACCCAGTTAAGTTGTTTTTGTTTATATATATGCGGTAAGAAAAGAGTAAAACTGGGCAGCATGAGCACTCCCTGTACTTGCGAATGGGACAAATGCTAGAGTCCTTATTTGTCAATGTGAGCTTTCCCTAAGCAAAGCAATAAAGAAGAGCTGGACAGAGCCTCCAAACAGCAAGCAAGTAAATGCTTAATTCTGCATCTGCTATATGCTTTGCACTGTTTCCTCTAAGATTTTTTTGAACAGAGAGAACTGTATTGGGGCAAAAAAGTATTTTAAAAAAGTTCAGAGTTTACAGTATTAATGAAAAACAACACTAGGGTTCTGACTTACTTCTTTATACGTTCCCACTGCTGAGCATCTGAACAAGAAATCCATTTGTCCAACTTTTCATTGTTAACCACAGCAATTCTGTTCAGATTAATATATGGATCCTGTGTAAAATAAGGAAGAAATTTATATGAGGGTTACAGTCCAGTGGAGAAGACCTTTACATAAAGCCAGTCCTGCTTTTGGCAGGCTAACTACAAGCAAACAAATGGCATTCCCACTGAACAACCAGTAGGTGATACTACACGTATAGAGAAATGATGGCGTGACAAAAAGAGAGAAAAATTTTGCTTGTCAAGCATAATTTGGTCTGTGTAGAGATGGAGAGAGGTGGGGAGAATTTTTTACTTTGGAAGAAAATTCTACTACGGGGCTGGCTGAAAAGACCAGGCCCCTATAATATGGGAACGATGAGAAAGTAGAAGCCTGGGTCACAAACTATTTAGAAACATACCAAATACTTCATCTACCTTTTCCTTGAAGAACAGCACAATGCTTTGGTTTCCTTCTGCAATAATTTTAATCCCATTGCCTGAAGTACCATTCTCTGTGAAAGGATAAAAGAGAGAAGATGAGTAGAGGAGCCATTCATTATCTTTTGAAAGTTCAGTGCAAGAACATAGCATATAAAAAAACAAAATTCAAAAGTTAGAAGTCATCCATCCTGAAAGTGCTCCTACAAGACAATTAGTTATGATGGTAAAGTAAGTGGTAAATACATCTGTGATGGAATCCACAAGCAGCAATGGGATACTGTATACTCAGCCTCTGCAAGAGTGCAGCGTGTGAAACTAACAGCCCTGTGCAAGTTCCCAGTTAGACTTTTATAATGTTATGGGCAAATTTGTGTTAGTTTATATTTAATATTAGAGTTTTGTTTCTGCACTGCTTTTATTGTGCTGTAGGCCTGGTGTTTCTCACTTGGCATATATTTACTTGTTACTTACACTTTGACTCCATTGTTAGCAAAATCTAATGTATTTTTTCTGACTTAACTGGATGTGGTATTTTATTTCTAAGGCAACTTAAAAAAATGTTTAGATCTTTCCTTGTCAACACTTCCTATTTAAATAAAACACACAAGATGCCTGGTCATTTCTCAGATGTCTGGAAGAGCTACAAATTTTTGAGAATGAACAATGACAGTGAAAACTGTTGCAATGATCTCAAGAACTGTCTAGGCTTAAGCAGATTCTGCTGTTCAAGAACTTAAAATTGAGTTTAGTACTTGAATAGATAGCTCTTTACTTGCTTGGTTTCACCTTCTCTAACATTACTAAACATCGCCAGTGGTTCACAGGTAAAGTGAATAGGGTAGGTTTAAATGCAAGTTTTAAAATATAATATATACTAATTTTAAATTTACTTAATTAAAAAAAATCCCACCTGCAGCACATCTAGTTGAATGGCAGTAGAAATAACAATGCGAGTGAACTTTAAGGTGTGGTGCTCCTTTTAGAATTGTATTAGGCTAGAGCAAGGGTATGTGAGAGAATTCAGTGGAGTCAATGGAACAAAAGCAAAAAAATGACTTGAAGTAGATTGTACAAAGATGAATAAATGGTGGATAAACTAAATACAGAGATGCCAGATTTCTTGACACCTCTCAGAGGTCAGGCTGGGAGGTGAAGACGACATTGAGCTAAGCAACTGCAGGAATGTTTTCCCATGTCATCAGGGAAAATGCACACCAACCAGAGAAAAAGAAGGGTAGTTTTCCCTTTGGAAGTAAGAGTGACTACTCTGAGTTTGCCCAAAGTGAGGAAGTTGGTAGTCAGGCACTTTGACTTGGTCTGGGATTAAATATCCCACAGAAACTCTCTTCCATTGTATTCTTCCTTGAATGTAAGGTTCAACCATTTCAAAAGCTATTGACACTGTAGAAGAAGCTCTTTCTCTGGAATCTCTTCTCTCAACCACTCATTTCCATCTCATCATTAAATAAAATGTACTTTTTAACAAAAACAAACCACCCAAATCCCCAAACCCACAAGCCTCCCTGCTTGGGATCCATAACCAAGAAATGCAACTTGCAAAGATCTAGTACGTAAATTACCCTGGTTGTGTTTCCTATCATTCTCCTCATTCAAAGGGAGCTTGAGGGGAAGTGGTATTAACTGAGATGACTTGTCGCCGTTTCCCAGCTGCCCTTCTTCTCTGGAACCAAATGCATAGATTTTTCCCAAGGAGGAGACATAGACGAGGGTGTGCCATCTGTTCAAAGAAAGAAACTAAATCAAATATGAAAGTGAAGTTGAGCTAGTTAGGATAACACTGGGTGCACCTACATGAGATGTTTATTGTGCAGTAGACTAATTAGCTGTGCAGTAAACGTTATCTGTCTATATGTGTGCCCCTGCTAGGCTGGAGTAGATACAAGCACTATCCCGCTGTGGAGTAATTTACTGTGCAACTATGCATTTATAGATCCTGATCTGGGAATAAATTGCTCCATTCAGCTCAGCCTGCAGGGGGCCACACTCCTGCCAGTTGTAGGAGCCTCGTGGCACAGGCAACTCCTCTGCCATCCGACAGAACCACCCAGAACATGGGCTTGACCCCCTGTGCCCCCTGCGCCCCCTGCCAGCCCAGGGCTGACCTAGGGTTGCCAACTGTGTTTGAATCTATTCCGGGAGGCTTCTGAACACCTGCATGCTCTCAACACACAGTGCAAGCATGCCCACATGCTTCCATATATCAGTTACGGATTACAGTGTGTAGACTTTATGTCAGGAAAGCAAATGCACATTACTATTACATTTTAAAAACCCACTGGATTACTATATACATTGGATTCAACATTTAATATTTATTTTAATAAATGACCTATCATTTATCTCCCAGTTGACTCTCAGAAGTCTCCTGGAGATTTATATCTAAGTCCTGGAGACTCTAGGGCAATCCTAGAGGGTTGGCAGCCCTAGGCTGACCCCAGAGCCCCCTGCTAGCCTGGGGCAGACCCCGGAGCCCCTGCCAGACTCAGGCTGGCACCTGGGCAGCTGCAGCCAGAGCCTGGAGCTCCCCCTGGCTGCTGCAAGGGGGCAGAGCAGGGCAGGAGCAGCCCTGACTTAAACTGCTTTTCCCCAGCATAATTTGCTCCTGACCTGGACACACATGTAGATGCTGTGCCTGGGAGTAGTTTACTACAGAGCAATTTGCTCTGAAGTTTATTCATGTGCATTAATAGTGCATGTAGACATGCTCACTGACAGCTACATTTCCAGAGGAATTCACCTGTCTGATTCCCCATTAAAGATATAAAGGAACCAGGTTACAGCAGGTCTGTAATCAAATGCAGAGGGTACTGCCTAAAATGAACATGAGGAAATAAAGAACAACATGTGCCTCTTCAGTTTAAGAGACTACAGTCCATTGCTTCTCCATTGTTCTTTATTGCTTGCAATCTACTCTGCTTCTAATTTTGAAAATAAAGTGTTCTGCCTTGGTTTTATTTTTTCATCTGTTTCCATCTGATAAGCAAAAATAGGGGTTATGAGTGTAGTCCATGTGTGGAAAATGAATGATATTTTTAGCAGCCACTATCCACTAGAGTCAAGGCATCTGAACAATGAGTCTCAGAGATTTCTTTTTCCACCATCCTTCCATGTTTCCCATAAGCATCTCATTGCTGTTTTCAGCCTTAGAGGAAGTGGTGGTTTCTTACCTTCCACATGCAATCTGAGACACTTGTGCTCCAAAAAGTTCAGCCACAAGTCGAGGTGTCAGCTCATTCCTGGTGGAGTTGTGACCAAGCTGCCCATACCCTCCTGCTCCAAAGGTGCATACCAATCCATCCTTGGAGAGGCACAAACAAACATCAGAGGCATGTAGCCCCAAAAGAGAAGCACATGCTAAGAAAGGCATCAAAACAGTAATTGACAGAGAGAAGCCAGATCCTGAAAATGCATATGCGATTTTTTTAACATTACTCATGTAAATAGTCCCACATTGATCCATGTAACACATAACATGCTGTAATCTTACGTGATGAGTATAGGTGAAACACCATAAATGCAAAGCCTGATCCTGCATTTCTTGTATATGCAATTAACTTTAGCCCAGAGAGTACTCTTACTGCTTCAAGGATTTTATCCATGTGAGTAAACATAGCAAACAAGTTGCTATTCTGATTCACTGAAGCCATTCATAAGCCATCAAAGAGTAAAAGATATTACGGCAGCACTGGGTGCATCTACATAAGACGTTTACTGCACAGTTAACTAATTAGCTGCACATTAAACATCTTGGCATCTACATGTGTGCCGCTATTACGCTGGAACAAACTAATTTACTCCACAGAAAGATAGTATTTGTAAATACTTTTACGATGTACAAGTACTATCCTGTCGTGATGTAAAAACTCTGCAGCAGCATGTGTAGATACTGCCCAGCTGTCTGAGGCATGAGGGTGCTCAGTGTGGGGCTGCCTGCTGGTTTTACGCAGCACAATGAGCCTAGTGGAGTAGCCCCGGACTGCTAGGCTGACCCCTGGACCCCTGCCAGCTGGAGCTGCTCTGCCCAGGCTCCATGCTGTACCTGGATAAACTGTGGAACTTATTGCTCCAGAGTTAATTGCTTCTGGGTGCACATTCAAATAGTGCACCCAGGAGCAATTCACTTGGGAGCAATAAGCTCCACAGTTTATTTAGGTGCCATAATGGCACATATAGACTCACCCACTGGACAACGTGGTATGGCGACATAGTGCTGGGGATCACGAACCATGATGCTTCATCTACATCTCTGTAGTGATGTGCTTCCCCATTACAGCATGTTGCTACAGCAATGTAGCAGTGAAAAAAACTGCAAGCCGCCAGCATGGCGCAGTACAGGCTGTTACTGTGCCATCATTTAGGACTTCCAAAAGAAAGCCCTAAATGATGGTGCACTAATAATGGCACCATACAGACATGTGTAGACTCACCCACTGCATACTTAATTGCATCTTATTAACTTTGCCCCAGGCCCTGCAAACCTGGATTTAAAGTTCCACCTTCTGTCTTCCACCACTGAATGAGAACAAAACTCTGCACACAGAGTGCAAGATTTTGAGTAACTGTAATCTTGCAAAATTCACTTAGCAACTCTTACAGGCCATCTTCAAAACCCCCATGAAAGAAAGTTGTGCCATCCTATGGCACAAATACTAAAGTCTAGCAGCTAATACCTTATTTCTTTGAAAACAAGATCCACTTTTTAAAATTATGTCTTCTAAAAATGGCCTGTATCTGCTGTTAAAAAAAAGTAAAAGCTTGTATATCACCATAAAAATTGTATTTGTATATATGCCTTTTTATTTGATGCTTGCCTTCTTTCTTAAAATGTGAGTCACAATATTTGCACATGCACAATTTGCACAATTTACTGTTCTTGAAGGAATATGGCATGTCATTTTTCCTGGGCCAAGTGGAACTGAATGAATTCAAATTCCGACAAACCTTTGACAGAACAGCAGAGTGCTCACCCCCACACGAGACAAACACAGTCTTCTTGTGTTCTAGGGCTGTAATATACTGAGGGAGAGCCATGTCTAGAAAGAAAACAAACAGGCAATATAGATTGACAGGGTTGCTATGAGGAAGTAAAGCTTTAGAAAAGGACTTTCAACCATCTTGGCTATTGCTCTTTTTTAATAGCATTTTTCTTGAAATATAGCTTGTTGTTCACAAGGTGTACACCCTGACTTAGAAGATGAAGTGCTCCGTCTTACCCTTTGAGCTGTTTTGCCCATATATTCATGGTAGAACTGAGACTAAAACATGAGCCACTACTCTCACACTTGGGCCCCAAAGCAGGCTCCAAAAATCTATATTTAGGCATATACACAAGACACTAATTGCACAACAGCCGAACAACATCACGCAGTAGTGCATCACAGCACATACAGTGCTAATACACTACTGCACAGTATTATTAGGCTACTGCGCAGTAGCATTACTAAAAAAGCATTCACCAGCACTACTGTACAATAACTCTGGTAAATGAGCATTTATTTAGTTCTTTATTATACAAGTACTAAATAAATGTGCAGTAATCACTGTGCAGTATCATCTCATGTAGATGTGCCCTCAGACACTTACATTTTTGGCCTAATTTTCAAAGGTGCTAAGCACCTGCAGTTCCCATTGACTTTGGTGGGGTTTTGTGGGTATGGAGTATCTCTGAAAAGAAAATCATGTCATATATATTGTATTGTTCTGATTAGAAGGCTATTTATTTTTCCCTCCAAAAGAAGCACTAACCCCCACACTCCATATCAGACTTATACACAGGATTAACCTATAATCGGACCCCCTACAGTCCTGACTTGCATACTTGCAATATGCTTGTGCATGCCATAAAAAATACTGTCAAAAACTTTTTAAAGCAGTTTTTATTCTACTATTTTTAGTGCATTTAACTCCTTAGGCCCTCTCATTGGTTAATTGATTCTCCCATGGGATTTTGTCAGGGTAATAGCAGTCTTTATCTGTAGTTATCAATTTATATTTAGGGAAAAGCATTTTTCCTAAAATTGAAACAGAAAACACACAGTTGGCTTATAATATGAATAACATGATACTCAATTAACCCAGCTTTCTGTGTTCATATTGGAATGGGGTGGTTGGTCTTTAGTTTTCCTTTCACTTTATATTTACAGATAGCTAGCCTAGGACTTAGTTTTCCTGGCTGACCCTTCAAAGTAATATCCATTATTCTGTGACATTATTGTTATTGTTTTCTCTGGACTACATAGCCGGGGTACTGAAAGGTGGCATGTTACGAAACAGAAAATTAAAGGAAGATGAGTAGCATAACGTGGACTTCCTCAATCTACAGTACTCCGATGGATAATGGAAAAGGACTCTCAGGCCTGACGGCTTCATGAGCTCACATAACCAACTGCTGAATGATTCGTTTTCCCTTTCAAAGCTGAACATCAAACTCTTCCTTGCATCTTCAGGAGCTGACCTAGACTAACTAGTACATGCACAAAAGTCAGTGGGGGTTGCGGTTTCCAGGTATAATTGCTCTGCTAGTGTTTCATATTCCTAGCTAGGTTGGCAAAATCTTACTTAAAAGCTTTTGTGAATCTTTCCTTACCTTTTGTGTGCCCCAGTCCCAGCTGTCCAAAACTGTTCTTTCCCCATGAGTAGACAGCCCCTGACAGGGATAGGACAAGACAGTGAGCTCCTCCTGCAGCAATCTGAGCTACAGGGATGCCCTGGAGGTCCTTCACCAGCTGTGGCATCTTGGGGAATGTGATCTGGCTTCTGGCTCCGAGCTGGCCATGGGAATTCTTTCCCCAGGTAAAGAGCTCACCTCCTTCACACAAAAAAACCATGAGTACATCTCAGTTTCAAAGATAAAGTTTTCCATTTATTGAAATGCCAAGTGTGTGAGCATGAATCCAGAGCCCACATAAGACATGACAATGAGATAACCTAGCTCCCAGACCCATCAAGTGCCAACAGTAAGTTTAGCTTTGGCACCTGATTGGGTCCAGCCTCCTCTTTCTTCATATCATGACCTTCCATCAAGACCTGTCAACAGTCAAATGATATTACCATGTAGGGACAAGAAATCAGGTTGCAAAGAAGCACCAGGAATAAATTCAGGACTAGCTGGATTCTGATTCTGAAAATCAAAAACTATACCCTACATGTTGTGATGAATAGAAATTTCCCTGATCCTCAATGCTTTGTAACACAGCTCAACCAGAGATGAAAGCAATCATTATAGAAACTGATCATCCCCATTTTACACATATGGAAAGAGAAAGTAATTTACTCAATGGCACAAGCTAAATACAATCAAAAAGCCCAAGGCTGAATCGATTCAATCTTTGGTTTAGTCTATGCAGCTTAGACTAACCTGCAAGCACCAAGTGAACAGATACTGGAAATGCAGCCACATGCCTGTAGGGGGCCAAGCCAGAAGCCAGGGGTCACTAAAACACACCTCCATTTATGTGCACTGAATTTCTATTGGCTTACAGATTTGAACCAGTTTCCGATCACTTATACTGATTTATGTGTAATTTCTGTCCCTAGCCATAGAGTGGCAGGGTTGGGAATAAAACCAGGAACTCCTAACTTCTAGCCTGATGCTTAATCTATAAGACAAGCTGTCTTTTGCTATCTCTTAAAGATCCAATCCTGTAATCTTTGCTCAAGCAAAAGCTTCTGGCATTGCTTCGTTAGAAACAGAGTGAGTAGAATTCAGAACAAGAGGCATAGGCGACTGGTAGGGGGTGCACATGCCCTCCCTGAAGGGGCCGGTGCCCCCTGACGGCTGACACTGATGCTGTTGGTAGGACTGGTGCCCCCCACAACAGGGCCTCTGTCATCGGCGGCTTCAGTGGGTGCCTCTCTAGATTCAGGAGGCACCAGTCATTCACGACAAGAGGCCTCTCATACCTTCACGGGCAGGAATAAATGACAGGAAAAAATCTAGTGAGAGGTGGTAAAACAATAACCTAATCTCATGGGAAAACATTGTCTCATGTCTTTCATAGGAAACCAGCACGTGCAGTTAGAGAACAGCACAGCCTCAGATACACGAATTAATACATACATGTCAAAATGGGTGAAGTGTAGCCGTCTTAGACCCTTATACAGCCCTGTTACATCTGTATCATATTCAATTATTTATTTATTGATGCAACACCTCCAGAAGGTACAATATCTGCATTTCACAGATGAGGAACCTGCTGACAAAAGCTCAGCAACTTAAAAGGTATTTGGTCATTTATTACCCAATAATTTTGATGATAATCAGATGGGCAAATACCTTTAAATATCTGGTCCTGAATCTAGGTCTCTCAAATTCTACTCTAATAATCTAATCATTAGACCATCTTCTCTATTCAAGACCTGTAAACAGTTTCTCATTTAGTGATCACCATGCCATGATTTTGTTCTTATCTAATGGTGATACTTAAAGGGCTTGCTTTTGAGGATAGGGATGTAATAATGTGACTGATTTTAGAGAATGCACTAAGGAAGGAGCTTACCTTTAGACAGTGCCATAGAATGATGGTCTCCACATGCAATCTGAACAATAGGCTTGTTTACTAAATCTTCCAATAGTCTGAGAGGGGAAAAAAGTACAGAGTACTATGAATCCAACATAAAGGACCTTGGTCTTAATTCCACAGGAGCCAGCCCAAGGATCCAATTTGTAATCTTTTCTATGTTTTTCAGCTCTTCTTGCCAGAGCTACTGGGAAAATATGGCCTAATTCTAACATTCCCCACTCTTTTTTTGCATATTGTTGTGGTCCAACTGAGTTGACTCCAATTTGCACCAGTGTATATACAAAAGGAGGCCCAGATCTTTAACGATAGAAACTTTAGCTTGGGCACAGTTACAGAAACCAACACCGTACAATGGTACTGTAGTTATAGACCTCCTGTAGCTCAATCAAGAACACAGTTCAACAAGAGGAGATGTTTTATATGGCCTCAGTTCCTGGCCTGTCAGTTGTCCCACTCAGAAAAGTCTGACTATTCACAGACTAGGACTCCCATATTTTCTACTACTCAGCATGAGAGAATACAGTGCTTTGATAATACATGTGATCCAGTGCTTGAATGGTCCTCAAAATGCCCCATTTCTTTCTGGATTAAAAAGAAATGTTGTAGGCTCCAAAGCGGATTCTACCCTATTCCCTCCTTTGTGACAGAAACACCTCTCAGGCTACTGTACTTTTCCTGCCAGTTTTAGAAAAAATAAGCTATCCTTGCTTGTAACCACAGAGCTGTTCCCAATGCACTACCATACAGGAATTAACACTGGCTGGGTGTTAATGATATAGATCAGGGGTGCTCAACCTCTAATCTACAGATAAGATGTGGTCCTGGGTGCTGTGTCATCCATCCCATGGGATTCCCCATGGCTCCAGAAGTTTGGTGGCAAGGGAGTAATAGTGCTGCTCCCCTGCTGCCAAATCCGTGAGCCCACAGGAAGCCCTGGGCCCTGTGCACTGGATCTGGTGCCCAATAAACAATGTGCAGAGCCAGGTGGGGGCAGTGCTGTCCCAGGAGACAATCCCAATGTGGAGGCCTGGGGGGGAGGGAGGTGCTGGGCCCCAGGGCCCAATCCTGGCATGTGGAGGGCGAGGGGGGGACGTGTTGGGTCCCCAAGACCCATTCTCTGTGTGCAGGGGGGCAGGGGGCAGTGCCAAGCCCCAGAGCATATTCTGGCCTGTAGAGGGGCCCTGTGAGTGCCACTGTTACAGACAAAGCTTCTCCTAAAATACTCTGTTGTTGTCAAAGACCCTTAGGCAGAAGGGGAACACACCTGAAAATAAACCAGTGCTTCAGTCTCTGCCACTATGTGTCCTTGTCTCTACAACTGCTCTGCTCTCACACCCTACCCCAAGAGGCAACTGTGAGGGGCTCCTCCTCTCCTCAGAACCTTCTTCCTCAAACTCTTCCTTCATCCCATCACTATCACCAGGCTTGGGAAAACGCCCGGGCACCCAACTCTAAGTGATTTTCCTTCAGCTCTATCTCTCTGCCTACATCTGCTCCCCTGGCATCCCCCCAGGGCTACAAAGGTAATAAAGAAGAACTCTCATCTGCCAGTCCTCCTCTGTCTGAGCCAGGTTACCCACTTCTATCCTCCTCCTCTCCTGCCTGGGAATTTGTTGCAGACATAGAGGGGCAGAGATAGCCTGACCTAGAAGCCCTCAATAACCCCATCATACTGTTCTTCTGATCTCCGCTTTGCCCACCAAATGACTGTCAATTATAGGTGCCGACTCCCACTTGGACTTTGATGCTCAGTTCTCAGCCACTAACCCTTATTTTGTGCTTCACCTATCATGCTGGCAACCCAGATAACTGTACAGTCTCTCACTTCCACTTCTCAATGCTATTGTTTTATCACCCTTACCTTCTGTGCCATAAACTAGCTCTAGACCAGCTCCTTCTCTTGGATCACTCTGATTCTGGTCTGCATCAAACCCTGGTCTCACCATCTGACCATTATTCCCACCCTTACACTCACTCCAATCCAGTGAGACATTCCCTACCAGTGGCAACACATAGGGGGTGCACAGGGGTGCATGTGCACCCCCTGAGAGCGCCAGTGAACCCCCTGACCAGCCGCACTCACCTCTTAGGCAATTGGTGGGGGGGCAGGCAGTGCCCCCCGCCCTGCAAGCACCAGCCAATCGCTGCAACTGCTCCCAGAAGCGGCTGCAGTGATTGGCTGCAGTGATCAGCCATCGCGGGATTGGCCGCAGGTGTCCCCCCAGGCAGCGAGATTGGCTGCGGGGGACTCCCCCCGGTTGGTGGGATGATGTGCCCCCCCCAACTAAGATGGCACCAGTCACCCATGTTCCCTACCTTATTTCAGACTTATTTGTTGTGGTTGAAATACTGTGCTCAAAAAGTTTGCCTTCCGAGGAGAGAATGAGCATATGGGTAGCTTCAGTGTCCAAGCAATCCACCCGCGTATTCTTTCTTAAATTAACATATCCTGCAAAGAAAATTGAGATAGAAACTATCATCATTTTAAGACAGTGGACAAGGCTCTGAGCCTTTCTGGATAGGGTGGCATATAAATCTAAATCTAAATAATATTAATTCCTAGCAAAATCATGAAATGTTAATGCTCTCAGAAGGAAAATCTGTCTCAGTATAAACTTGAACAGTAAGTCACTAAACAGACATATATGGCTGTGCCACAGAAAGGTAGGTACAGAATACAGACAGCTGTGAAGCACCTGAAGTGGTACCCACCTTAGGTTTCAGTAATAGCCCCACCTTCCTTGTCTAACGTTGAGTCGGGGTTGTGGTCCAGTGCAACCACACACTTTGCAGACAGAACTTTCCAGGCTCCTAACACAGCTCCAGCCAACCTACAATATCAATAGCACCTTTGTTTCCAGCCCCCCCATGTCCCCCGCAAGGAATGTAGTGGAATGTAGCACAAAGTAATTATATTTCATAGACTGATTTTGAAAGGCGCTGAGCACCTGGCTCTTTCTGCAAGTGCTGTTTTGTCTGAAAGTCAGACCACCAGATTAATACACATGAAAAAGACCTTGCAGATGTTCACATTTCCATCCCACCAATTCTGCTGGCTCTTTCACTTGTGTGCACATCCACTTACACAAGGGGAAATATATTAATCAATGTCACAATTGCATTCAGGCTGGCTCTCCAGTTCAGATACACAACAAGCTTTCTTGTTGGTGTTCCCAGGTCTGCAGGAAATGTTTCAAGCCATAATGTCATTGCGACTATGGGTGCAGTTGGCTATTGGACTGGCACCAATGAAAGGAGAAATAATGTTATTGGCTATCGGCTTTTTTTGGTAGTTGTAGCAGATAATTACAGCCACATGCCTAGAGCACCCTGGTGAGCATAGTCTGGTCCCTGCACCCCACCAATGGCCCAAGCCTACAGTAGACTACATGTCCCTGTGGGCAGTGGGAGGGGGCACCGGAAGCAGTCTCAGGGTGCTGTGCTCAGTGACACAGGGACCATACCAGATCCTGCTGCTGCTGCTGCCATTGCAATATTGCATGCACAGCAGGGGTCCGGATGCCAGGGCTGCTGTAGAGATGTTGGGCTGCGCATGGGTGGGGTAAGGCGCTGCATGAGGGACATTCTGCTCTGCCAGACACTGGATGCCTTTGCAAAAGTGACTTCTCCCCGGTGGCCCTTGGCACTTGGCTGTGCAGGGCCTGCTGATGCTGAGGCAGCAGCATGTTTCAGCGCTCCAAATGGGCCCATTGCCACTGTCCACACACTGGCTGCCCCACCTGCTCGGGATGGCAGCATGGGCTGTGCAGGGAGTGGGGCTGCAGGTAGGAGCTGTGGACAAGGGGGCAACTTGCGTGGGAATAAGGCAGTCACCGCCTTCCTCCTCAAGGGCCAAAAGAGGCAGGAAGTATGTGTGTGTTATAAATACAAAACAAACAAAAAAGGTTTATTTATATCAGTAGTTTAAAATGCCTTGCACTATTACTAAGTATCAGTTATCAGACCAGAATTGGCTGATATGGTTGGTTAATCATCCGCTATCAGTATTGGCCAAGAGAATTTTTATTGGCGCACCCCTAATTGCAACAACAAAAGAAATAGCCAGAAATGTCTAGTCAGCTTAGGTTTTGTAGCCTCTTTAACGGTAACACAGCTTGAGCTCACAGAGCAATTGACAGTTTCCCTTTAAATATAATTTCTCTACCATGCAATGTGGTACACACCTTTTGCACCAGACCTACTGCATTTCCACAGCCGAAGTATCCTCTGACGAATCATCTGAACTTCATAATTAGACTAGGACTGCTGCATTTAGGTATCAGTCCTAGGCAATCCACTCAAAGGAGGTAGGACATACCAGGAGAGAGGAAGTAGATCACAAATGGAAAATGACTACATGGGAATGCTAGTAACGTTTATGGACAACAGCTTTTACCTACATTGTAGACTCAGCTCAGTAGATGCACACATGCATTGTATATAAGAGAATCTCAGATAACTTCAAGAGCTCATTGTATCTTTAAACCATCCTCCTATATACATCTTTTATTTGCCTTCTAACATAATAATTTCTGGTTCTTCTGTTATAGTCCAGTCCACTCATAACATTTGCCCATAAAAAGAAAGCCAGTGATCAGGGCTGACACCCACTTCCCCAAGGCCTTCAGATGGCTGAGAACTGAACGAGAGGCAAGGATTTGTAATGAAAATAAAGTGCTGAGGATTGTGGGGAAAAGGCTAATTCCCCCATACTCTGGTGTTGTATCAGGAGGAGGAGTCTGGACTTGGGTCTCCCCTGAGCCAGTCAGCCTGTGTTTTCCCTGGGTTGCATTCTGCTTTCTCTAGAATGGAAACTGAAACTAGAGTGTTTCAACAGAGAAAGGAAACTGTTCTGGTGACAGCGATGTCAGAGAACAGGACCTGAAACAGCAGGAGTAGAAAAGTCACCCAAAGACTTTTGTGAAGATCAGCCTGAGTCCCCTTGATCCTGAGATCAATTTAATTTACAAAGGAAGAGCAACTCAATGTAAAAAACATAGATTTAAGAATAAAATTGCACCAGGGGTAGCTACTTAACTCTCATTGGGATAGATCTGGGCATCTAACAACCATAGAGGGAAACTTTCATGGCTAGTTCAGATCAGCATGATTTGATTACATCAGTGGAACAATTTCATTTCCCCCTCCCTCAAGATCTGCCCCTGAGCTTTCCAAACACATACTCACTAGGTTTCCTGGGATGACCCTGGCGTTCATCTCCTTGGTCAAAGATGAGAACACTCCCATTTTTCTCCACTACTGCAAAGTAGTCCTGTTTGCAGTGTATCTGCCGGATTTCTTGTGCGCACTTTTTGAAGAGACTGGGATGGCACCGTTGCGTTGGGAAAAAAAACAATGAAGGCAAGGATGATGAAGATGGTGCAGCTGGTGGGGGTAGTGGCGGCAACGGTGGCAGAGGCGACAACAAACCCCTTTTCCTCTTGCTGTGATGCCTGGGGGTCTGGCAGTCCCTTGGCATTTTCTTAGGCATCCTGATATTGTTGTCTTCACTGTGACCTAACTTGAGTCAGGCAGGGATCTGGGACAGAAGGTCTGCTTTAACCTATGCAGATGGCAAACCCTGCAGAGTCCAGTAGGGTCAGGTCTGGATACAATCCTCCTGTCTCCCAGTTCGTGTTTGAGCAAGGAACTGGGATGAGACAAGCTTCAAGAACGTGCAGGAAAGAGTTAGCAGCAGCTGTGAGTTTTGTCAGGCTCTGCCAGTGCCACTGAAGCTCTGGGCTGATGCTGCGTCTCCTCCTCCAGCTGGCAACCAGTGTAAATACCGCTCAGCTGAAGAGGGAGGCTCCTCCTTGCTCTGGAGGAGGAAGCAGGCAGGAGGTGTGTCCTTGCAGGAAACTGATACTGGGCTTTCCCCAGGAGGAGGGAGAAGGGAAAGCAAAATTTGCGCATGACAGACAGCGTGAGGTGGTTAACCACATTAGTCTGAAGTCAGGCAAAAGGCATAACAGGGGGAACGTCAAGGATAACAGAGGCAGTGATCAGCCCATTGTAAGGCACTGCAGAGCCTCACTGCTGCTCTGCGGCTGGGTTTCTTCACCAGCTGTCCAGCTGAGCTGATACAGCCAGATCTGGCCTGGTAACAACTGGTTGAGCCAGGTGGTGTCAGCAAAGCCTTGCTGATCTCCCTATCTGAATTGAATGGGACAGCTGTATTGCTTTTCTCCAGTATTGTTTTTTCTCCTGGGTCCATTCAGTAAATGCAACCATAAGGAAAGTGTCGTTTCCAAGCATTTGGTGCAGTTTCTGGGTTTTCATTCTCCTATCCCTCAGAAACAGCAGCCCTCCAGATCAGGAGAAGACACAAATATGATTTACAAGATAAACTCAAGAGATTTCCAGTAAGAATTCACAATATTAAAACATTCTAACCTGCTGTGGGCTTTCTATTCTGAGTGCATTGCAACAGAACATTTTTTCTGTAGTAAAAAACAAGGGAAAATTAAGATCTGGCATTTTCTGAGAGGTGCCTTAAGTCTAACAAGGGTTGCCTTGGGTGTTAAAAGTTTAAGAACCACTGCACTAAACTGTCTTGTCAGGAAGTGAGAGTTTATTGGATCAACTGTACAGTTGGGATAGAAGTCTGGTCTGACAAGCTTCTGGACACAAAGCACCTTTCTTCAGTTCTGGGAAAGAAGCAGACACAGACTAAGCTAAACAGAAACCCCCCCACAAAAACAATGGTTTGTGTTTAACTCCATGTAAAGGCTGTCATAAAAAACAGATAGTTTGATGCAATTGTTCGTAAACTTTTAACACCCAAGGCACCCCTTGTTAGACTTCAGGTGCCCCTCAGAATAAAAAGTAGTCAGCTCATTCATTCCCTTTTTCCACTAGCAGAGCATGCACATGACCAAGTAAGTGGTTTTACTTCTTCATAAAGAAGAGTGTAGAATGAAGGCAATAATTAGAGCCACATGAACACAAAAGCAGGATGCAATTTTATTGGGCCTGTAAATCAGAGTAAATAAAAGAAAATCATAGCTTTGTGCAACAAAATGCCAAGTACAGATAGCTGCATAATGTTTTTATTTTCTAAGCAGATCACATTGATTTCATGAGTAAGTTTTACTTAGTATAATATTGGTCTGAAATTTATATTTTGGTGTGTATCTAAGTACAGAAGAAACATTTTACTGAGACATTATTACAGAAGTTTCTCATCAAATATATTTAACATTCTTGTCCACTTCCTTGTTGAACCACAATCTTCCAGAGAATTATTCAGAAACAGCAACATTCTTGCATCATATATGATATTGCATTTATTAACACTTTTAAGTTTCTCACAACAAAATAGGGTCCAAGAAGTTTCTTTCATTAAGAGAAAGACAACAAATCTTGTTTCAATAACTAGCAGTGTAATCATGGAGTTAGTGAAAGTTGACAAACTAAAGTTAAATTATAAATAGGAACTGGCCAGCTTTATGTTTTGGGTGCAGCAAACAGGTTGTTCTGTTTATATATTTTGAGAGATTAGAGAATAGGTCTAAGGACATGAAATGCTATTTTGTATTTTCTTTGAACTTTTCTTTTAATAGTGGGCAGTGGCTACTTATATTTGATTGTAGCATAAGAAAATATTCTCTTTTTCTTCTTACACATTTTAAAACCATGTTTTACGAAGTATCTTACACAACACCTGTTCCCTGAGGCTAGGGACAGATATTCAAAAAGCCTGAGCCTGAATGGATTCAACCTTTGCAGGTTAGTTTAACATGGCTAGGCTAAACCAATTTGTAATGTCATAAACATTCTCTCTGGACTGAGGAAATTCAGGCACATGCCAGTGGCTCTGGCTAGAAGCCACGGGGTGCTAGAGCAGCCCTTCCTTCCCTTGAACAATGCTGAGCTGAGGTGGGGTGTGGCCAAGCCTGGGCAGGACCTCTGATTAAAGAGGTCTGTCTGCACCATCCCAGGCTTTTTCCCACTGGCTGCTCAAGGGGTGGGAGTGTTGAGACAAGGGCGGGGGGAAGGGGGCGGGGGAGGAGGGAGTGTGCAGTGCATGCATCTATTGATGATACGGAGCTTTTCAATCCCCCTCCCTGCTTCCTTATACTGTCTGCACCAAACTGATAGGCAAGCAAGCCAGCAGGGGGCTGATAACAGTGTTTATCACACCATCAGCAAAACAATAGCCTCTCTGACCTGTTAATTAGCTCCAAAAAGCCCTAAGCGGATGCTGTTCTGTTTGCCTGTCCCAGTGAAATTGGAGACAAACACACAGACACCTCTCAACATTAGTTAGCATACCACATGCCTAGGGTCCATGAGGCTGGGGTCCATGCTGTGGGAGATGGAAGGGAGGGGGGTTCCTTGCTTCAGCAGTGAGCAGCAAGGGGGGTTGGGGCAGGGGGAAGCCAGGCAAACCCTGCTGTACCTGCAGTCTCTGCCACAGCTCTGGCTAGGGAGCAGGACAGCGAGGCCAGCTCTGTTCTCTGGAGCAGAGAGCACAGCCCAGACAGCATGGCGGGATGCTGGGAGTCTCTGGTTTAACTTAAACCAGGAAGGGGTCTGGGACAGACACTGCATAAAACAGTTCAACCCAAATCAGTTAAGTCTGATACTGCTTTCAACCAGGTTTATCTTAAACCAGTTTCAGCCATTTTTAAACTGGTTTATGTGCACTGAATGTATGTTCTGTTACAGGTTTAAACCAGTTTTTGATCATTTAAACCATTTTATATGTAATGTCTGTCTGTAGCCTGGATGATCAGAATATTTTGAATGTGAGATTATGTGCTGTCACAGTAACTGAACATAGTTTGTTGGTTTGGTGCAATAATTAGATAGCAGATAGAATATCACTTTGTAAAACAGCAACTCTAGATTGACACTAGAGTCTCTCTCATCCTTTCTGTAATCAAACCTATTTTAGGCTGTGCTCTAAAACTGCTCTGGTTTTTAGAGACTCAGTCCAACCAGTACATTTAGATACAGTAATTAACCTGTGTTTTTCTAGAAGTGTGACCTTAACTAATTCTGACACTACTGATCAAAGGGAACTGCCACCAAAGCCTTAAAAAAAAAAACAACCCCAAAATTCAAGGTAATCTATTACTGGATTAAGTTCAACAGGAGGCTTGATACATACGGAATCCAAAGTCATGAGACTAGAGAACAATCTGTTTCTCAGTGATGGTTGTGATGCAAGTTTGTGATTCACTATTTTCCAAACCCCCGGTTGTTCCTGAGAGCAGTAAAAAGCTTCTCCTTGAGAATTTCTTTGTTTGAATATGGTGGAAGGAATAGGATTTGAAAGCAAGTTTGTGCTTGAGGAAAGTGATCTTCTGACAGAACCCCATTGAAACAGAACTTTATCCTTATGCAGTTCATTCCCAGTATAGGGATCCGGTCACTTCCTGTAAGAAACACTGCAGAGCAGAACAGGATTAGATTTTTCTGAAAGTATTAAATTGTACTTTCAAATTACCTTTTAAAAATATAAATTTTAAGAATTAGTATTATAGATATACTACACATGATATTTATTATCATTGACAAAAAGACAGCATGTTTCATAGGAACCTATTGCTCATAATGCTTTTTTGAATGATATTCCAATTATTTATGGTGCATTGCACCAAACGCCTGGCTAGTAAGGCACACAGACAATGCCCTTATGAAATGCTTGCAACCCAAGGCCTCAGTCCTACAAACACTTACACCACTGGTTGTCAACTTTTCAGAATAAGAGAACCCCCCATAACTTTTCTGAAATGTGCCGGCATCCCCACTGTTGTGCTCAACTTATCTCAGTGGCTCTCCTACCTGCTTTTGGGTTTTCAGGGAACCCTAATCTAGGAGGAGCACCCATATGTGCCAGCCCTTCAGTCAGGCTGTGCACAAGATGCACAGGGCAGTTTTACCTGGCAGCAGTGTTAACCAGTTGAGAACCACCATTGTGCTCAACTTGCCTCAGTGGTTCTCAACTGGTTGCTACTGTTGCCAGGTAAAATTGCCCTGTGCATCTCATTCACAACCTGACTGAAGGCCTGTGGCACATGGTTGCTTTCGTTCTGATAATCCTAAAATCAGGCAGGAGAGCCAGCTTGTGCTACAGCCCTTCCCAATCTGACTCTGTACAGCGTCTCCCAGAAACAGAAGTTTATGAGACATGTCGAACTGTCCGTGCATTACCACGAGCATGGGGGAAAACACATGAACGATGTGTGCCTCCAGAGGCTGGGGGGGCACGGTGACCATCCGAAGGCAGCGGCAGCGGCAGGAGCAGTGAGTGGCAACCGCCCGCAGGCACCGCTGGCAGTGTCAGCAGCACTTCTCTCAGGGGGTGCATCAGTAATCTCAGGGGATGCACATGCACCCTCATGCACCCCCTACATGTCACCAATGGGGGAACAGCCTGAGAAGGGCTATAGCATAAACTGGCTCTCCTGCCTACTTTAGTTATAAGGGAACCCTAACGCAGGACTGCAAGTGCACAGGGCAGCTTTACCTGTCTGTTGCTGCAGCAGTGACAGCATCTGCATCACAGCATCTAAAGGTCTTGTGGCACGCTGGGGTACCATGGACCCCAGTTAAGAACCACAGGTTTACACATATGCATTGTCTCAGTGATAGAAGGATACCAGAAGGACTATTCATGTGCATAAAGGGCTTGATGCAAAGGGTATTGAAAGTAATGGCAGTATTTCATTCAGATATCATTTTTACTCTACAGTAATTTTGTATTGTAGATCCCTAATTCTGTGCCAACAAAGAATGACTCATGATAGCTTATCATATTTTAAAAGATTTTCCATTGGCTGCATTTTAAGGAGAAACAAAATTATCTGTTCATGGAAATGATACCTACAAAGAAAGCCCTTCTTCTCTTCTAGAAGTAGGTCGTGGAAAACCTCCCAAAACATTTTGATGGTGGGATGTGATGGAGTGTATATTCCATGATACTCTGCATTCTTCAAAGTTGATCAAATTATGAGAGAGAGAGAGAGAGAGAGAGAGCGCTTTATTCTAAAGATATGAAACTGGGTGGATAAAGGTTTCCCTCGCTTTATGCTGTACATGCGTTCCTGGAAAACACTCAAATTCACATACAGGGAACCCACTTTACAATGCAACAAATAAGGATACGTTCTAAGACATTGACTATACTGACCCCCAAGCCCATTTCTACCACTTTTACAAGACAATATTGGTACTCACCAACAGAAGACAGTACACACAAGCACAGGGCACTATCATAATGGGGAAGGCAACTACAGACAACATGTTGCAGACAATGAGCGAGGAGCACAGATCCACACAGGAGACTATATTTTGGTGTACACATCACTCCCACAATGCACTGCACAAAGCACCTGACTGTGGACTTCCACCACACCAATTGCATAAGAGTGAATTTACCTCTCATATAGCGAATTTTGGTATAAAAAGGGTCATCGCATAAGAGCAAATTTGCACATACAGAACCTGCATAAAGTGCGGGAAACCTGTAAATCAACTTAATATAGAAGAATATTCTCCCACTTCTCCCCTCAAACCTCTTCAAACTTGTTCCAGTCATAATTTGTGTTTCCAATGGTCACCTCCATCAGTTCTTCAGGATGAAAGAATCTAACTATATCTTTGTCCAGGACTTTGTAAAATCCTCTCTTGAATTCCTCATACACCACTTCCACTGACTTGTTGAAGATGTAATCAATGTACTTATTGATAAAGTCCCTCCTTTACAGACAAGAGAGATTTTGGTTAGCTTATACATGTGTTCGTTGAACACATAGGACAGCAAATACATCCATCTTGCTCACAGAAATATACTAGAAACAAAATAAAACAAAAATAGTTTTAAAAAGGTATTTTTTTCTCCCTCTGAGAATGAGAATTATATTCCTCTAAGAAAAAGGTGAAAAAGAAGATTGTCACTTAATGGTAAAGTTCACAGTCATAAAACTCTAACAAGAAAAATGCTTCTCCTGGTTCTCTGCATTCCTGGCCAGGAAGTCTGATTCTAATCAAACTGATTGTTTACTAGCGTTAGTAGTCTCATTGAAGCCAGGACAGTCCAGCTCCTCATGGCAGGAACGTAGCAAACCTCCCAGGTTTTTCTTTTTTTTTTTTAAACTTAAAAATACATTCCTTCCCCTTCTCCAACCAATTCTGACTTACTCTCTGCCCTGTCTATCTGTATGAACCCATGCAGTGTTTGTGTAGTTTTGTGTGCATGTACATAATTTTGTATCATGCCCTCCTGTCTAACAGCGCACTATTGAGATCCCAAGTGTTGATCTGGCACGTGTCAAGTCAACAGGAAGAGCTACATTACATATTCCCAAGAATTTGTAACAAAAGGGAAAAAATACTATTCAGAATTATTGCTTCACTAGGAGGGAGAAGGAAATGGAGGATAAAGAAGTGTCCTAAGATTTCTGAACTCTAGAAGGAGGGACCCAATATTTTGCAATTTCACAAACGTGCTGGAAAAAAATGTTAGCACATCTCTCAGACATGTGCACAAAGATGAGCTGTTTCCAACAGGCTTGTCTGGGTGGTAGGTCAAGGGTTCATACATTTTTGATCTGAGTTCTTCAGTGAATGAAAAGGAGACAGGGACTGAAGCTGAACATAAGTACAAAGGAGACACATAACCACACCAGGACTTAAATATACAGAAGACAGTGTTATGGGCAGAGCTGACAGATTTCTATGCAAATTCATAAATCTGTGGTTTATATTGCATCTGCCCACCCACATTTTTCACTGTCAACTAAGCTACCTCAGAGTTTACCTATTTCCAATTCCCACATATGTACTAGGAACTGGACTGCCTAAAAGAGAATCCTAACATGAAAAGCAGCAGTATTGCTCTCACTCCGAGGCAGGGATGGGCATAATATGACCCATGGGCCAAATCTGGCCCACCAAGGGACTTTGTCTGGCCCATGGCTGGTTGCTTGGTCCCACCTGGCTTAGGCAGACAGTCCCACGATCCCTGGGTGTGCAGCAGGCCTAGGATAGCATGGCAGCTGGACTCACTTCCCAGCAGCAGCAGATCCTTCCAGCTGCCACCACTGCCAGATCTGGCCCTACTGCCTGGGCACCCTGGCCTTTCCACCCCACACCCACTGCTGGGGGGCACCTGACAGAGCAAGCAGGTGGGTGGGTGGATGGGACGGGGCCACAGCTGGGTGGGAGCCATGTCTGGGAGCCGGGATAACAAGGCAGTGACAGTGCGAGGCTGGGGCCCAGGGCAGAGCCACGATCCACTGCCTGCATGTTCCTGTGATGGGCGTCAGTTCTGTGGGCAGGGGCACACAAGAAGCAAATCCCAATCCCAGCCCTGACCCTGTCCACTGGTTCTAATCTCAGATGCCGCTCCCTGCCCACCCACAGCCCCACCCTAACCACCCAGCCAAGTACAGAGCAGAGCCATTAAGGGAGATTTGGTGAGCTGGTGCTAGGGGGAAGGGTGTTGACTGGCCTGCAAAAGTTCACCAAAACTCCCTAAGTGGCCCTTGGCTGCTTTGAGGCCTGGTTGCAAAAGACTCACTAGCTAGAATTTTTTAAAAGATCAGTATCACAATACTTGTTTTTACTGGTCACAGCAATGGAACTGCCATTTGGAATCAGGTCTATGTCCTTGTTGTCCCATGATATCTGAAACCATAAAAATAGCTTTATGAAAAAGTATTCAAGGCAAGAAGCACAGTAATCTTCTTCCTGATAAGTGGTTCCCTATTAAATCATTCAGTGCGATTATGTGGTACGTGTTTACAGAAACCTTCAAAACTACATGACAGCAGCAAGAGAAAGATGGGTGCAAATGTGACAATGATTTCCATAGCTGCTGGAAATTACTGTTGTAAGAATGTACACAGAGACCAAGAGTACAAGAATGTACTCTTCTGTATATTTGCAGGAATGCTCGTTTTCTTTAATCCCTGGAAACACACAATTTATGTCCTTGAGTTTTTGCTTGTGTCATCTTTATTTTTTGCCCCAATTTTGTGTGTGTGTGTGTGTGTGTGTGTGTGTGTGTGT